CTGGTAGATCGCAATCTACCTAATGGGCACCCCTGCTTTAAAAGATTTAACTGCTCATCAGTTTAGCGCTAGCAGTGATTGATGGCCCCCAGAATTATTGCTCTCACTCCAACGTTCGCGGCAATATGTAACATGTAGTGCAATTGTTGTTTTCGCACGTAGGCGCACTGTCGCATGTTTGCGTGTGTATTTGTGTGCACGTGGGGGGCAGGGGACTTAACAAAATGTTTTTTGCATTTTTTTCATTTTTCTTATGTCACTTTAATTTTTTTCATTTTTAAAAACTTTTTTTTTTTTACACTAACCTTATTGCTATCCCATAGGGGGCTAACATGCTCCTTATGTAATAGCAGATAGGGTCTGACAGGTCCTCTTTATGGAGACTTTCAGACCCCTAATGTCACCTAGGGACCCTAAATAAGCTGAGGAAGCCGAGATCTGCTCCATCAGCTTCATCTCCTGGCTTTAAGAGCTGGAGAATGTAAATAGTGACACCGGAAGTCACCGGGCGTTATGGGCCAATTGCTGGCATTGCTGTATAATGTATTGCTGAGATTTGTATTCCTCAATAGCTGGTGGTACTCAGCATTGTTGTATAATGTATTGCTGGGATTTGTAGTTCTCTGGGTCACAGAGGTTGCAGCAGAGACTGGGCTCTAGACTGGGGCCCAGTCTCAGCTGCAACCGTTGTGACCCTTATAGACTGGGCCCCCTCCCCTTAGGGAGGGGGGGGGGCAGTGCAGACAGGAGAAAGGGGGTCCCTGTATCTGCTGACATTGCTGTTAGACATATCAAACAACTGTAGCATATTGTATTAATGCAATATATTCTGTTCTTTAAGCACTAAGCAACACCTTATTTTTTGGCAGTGCCCCTCCGGAGACTAGACTCTGGATCCGCCCTGATTGTGTGCAAGCTCCATTGAGCTACTGCTGGAAAGAACATCAGCAGCCGTGCTTCCGGCTCCCAGATGAATCAGAAAGTGTCTATAATAAACACAAGTTCGGACCTTGTGCCTCTCCCCTCTGCACTTCATATATTGAACACTATCATACCCACCACACTCCCCGCCACAGTTCCATCCACACCCTTCTACTGTACATATTGCCCTCTATTATACCCTCCTCACCACTACTAAATCTGTACACGTACTGCCCGTCATCATACTCCACCGCTCCTCTCCTGCACATACTACCTGACAAAACACATTTTCAACATTGATTATTCCCCAACAGGCAAGGTCGGGGTTAGTACACACTGGTACTAGTTTCTTTATCCTCCATCATAACATTCTTTTTAATTTATAGTATGAAGTAGTGCAAGATGTCATTCGGTATCATATTTATATGTGTTGGGGAATTTTTCAGGCACAGCAAAAGTGTGCA